TTGATAATCTCCTACCTCTTTTGTCTGTAGCTCACTATTATTTGTCTATTTGTTTTCTGAGAAACTATCTTATAGATAACAATATGTAAAACAATAACCATTGATAATTTCCTACCACTTTGTCTATAATTTGGAAAGCCCCCCGTATTATTATGCTATCCTTCTTTTACTCTTTAAAATAAAAATTAAAAAAAAATCATTGCCAAATCCACGGTCATTAAGGTTTACTCCAAAATTTTCAAGAGTTTTATGGTTTTAAGTCCTAATATTTAGGTACTGATCAATTTTGAGTTAATTTTTGCATATGAGGTAAGGGTCCAACTACTGTTACTAATGTAACTAGTTCACCTCCATTATGGTGGTTACTTTGTATGATTTCAGTGTTTTAATTTTCACTTGTTTTGTGGCCTAGGATTGACTATCCTAGAGAATACTCCATGAACACTTTAGAAAAATGTGAACTCTACTGTCATTGAGTAGAGTGTTTTTATAAGTATTGTTCGGCCTAATTGGTTTATGGTATTGCTCAGGTCCTTTATTTCCTTATTCATCTTCTGACTACTTGTTCTATCCATTATTGAAGTCTCCAACTATTATTATAGAACTCTATTTCTCCCTTTAAACTGAATTAGTTGTATTTACTTTGAGGAGCTTGTTTCATGCTTATGGTTAGAATTTTTATTTCTTGAAAGATTGATCTATTTATCACTTTCTAAGATCCTTCTTTGTTTCTTGTTACAATTTTTGATTTCAAGTCTGTTTTGTCTGATGTTAAGACAGCCACTCATGTTGCCTTTGGCTGCAGTTTGTATGGATTACCTGTGTTTATCTTTTTACTTTCTATCTACTTGTGATTTTAAACCTCAAGTGAGTCTCTTGTGCAGAGCATGCAGTTGAATTGCATTAAAAAAGAAAACTTGCTCAATCTTCAGCAAACAACTTTACTGAGATATAATTCACATGCCATGTAATCTATTTTATGTGTACGATGCAGTGGCTTTTAGTAGATTAAATTAAAGATATTCCTCATTTAATGACCTGTTTAACTACCTACCTGTTTAATGACTGTTCAGACTTAACACTGAGGCTGTTTGGACTTATTACCTACCCCTTGGACTTCCAACTCGTCTTTTTTTTGTACAGTTCTGTACATCTTTTCTATGGAAACCCAATGTCTTTTTTTTTTTTCATACAGCACGCCTTGTACTGTAATTTTTGCTGATTATACTGTATAGTATACTAGTGATGTTTTATGTTGTTATACATTACAGTACTGCATGTGAGTTTACAAATAAAAACAAAGTCAACAAGTTTGAGTTTCCTTTAGCCATCTCTTTGCCCTACTGTAATGGACGTACTGTATACAAGTCCTCATTTAGAGACCGATTCATTTAACAACATAGTTACAGGAACAGGACTCGGTTATTAAGTGAGTAACATATTAATTTTCAAAAGTCATAGTCAAATATAATATAAGCTTTGGTATTTTAGTCAGTTTTAGTTATGCAATTGAGTGGTTTAACTACATTCACAATGCTACACAACCATCACCAGTAGCACCAAACCCTTTTCATCACCCAATGTATTATCCCCTCCCTCTTTCCCTAAACTAAAAAGTACAGATAACCCATGCAGTTACTTCCAGTGGTGTTCTTTATTGCTTCCTTTTTTTCTTACTATCCTTTCATTTCAGCCTGAGGATGTATTAGCACATTTCTCATAGGGGACTCTACTAGTGATAAATTCCCTTAGTTTTGTTTATCTGAGGAGGTCTTTCTGTATGTGCTGGAGATCAAACACAGGGCCTTGTGCATTCTAGTGTTCTACGACTGAGTTACATTCCCCACTCCCTCTTTAGCACTTTACACACCTTCTAGCCTCTTGTGCTTCTGATGAAAAATCAGCTGTTAATATTAGTGCAGATCCCGTATGTGTGACAAGTATTTTCTAGATTCACTTTGTGAATAATTTATGTCTCTCAGTGTATTCTGAGTTTTATCTTTGCATTTCTTTTGGCTTGTTGGGTGTATAGATCTGTCTTTTATTAAAATGGGGAGTTTGGGGCCAATGTTTCATTAAATATTTTTTACGCTGTTCTCTCCTGTTTCCAGAGATCCTATTATGTAGATATTATGCTTGATGATATCCCCTAGGCTAAGGATAAATCTCTTGGATTCTGTTAATTTTTCTTAATTTTTTCCTTTCTCTTCCTCATATTGGATCATTTCAGTCAACCTATTTTCAGGTTCAGATTCTTTCTTCTGTCTGCTCATGTCTGGTTAGAGAATTTTCCATGTCAGTTATTGTATGTTTTAGGTCTATAATTTCTATTTGGTTCCCTTTAATACTTCTCTCTGTAAGCATTCTGTTTATACAGCTTTCTTCTGGTTTTATTCTTTACCCTAAACAATGTGCTGGCTTCGCTCATTTCTTTGATCATAATTAGGACAGTTGGTTTAAAGTATTTGTGTGTGCTGTCCAATTCCTATGCCTTCTCAGTGACAATTTGTTACTCTCTCCCCTCACTACTGGCCTATATACTTCCTTGTCTCTTTGCATGCTTCTTTCTATTGAAAACTGGAAAATTTCAATATTATATGATGACTGGAAATTCTGAATCCTGCTAGGATTAATTGCTGTCACTTGCTGTGGGTTATAGAGGGATATTAACTCTTCTAAACTGTGTTTTTTTGTCATATATAGTCTGTTGCCTTAACTTAGAGGTCAGCTAGTGTTTCACCACAGATTTCCTCAAATTCCTGGAGTAAAAAGAAAAATACTCTCCAGACCTTAGTTAAGTGGCACCTTGGTGCTCATTGCTGATTGATTTCAGGAGGTGTGGAGTACCAAAAGTGACGAGTACCAAACAAACTGTATTGTCTAGAAAGGGTAGCAAATCATGAGGCAGTTAACACTGACAAGTTCTAATTCATGAATCAATAGCAAACACAGATGAAAACCGGGACCAAATCTTTGTCAAAATGCACTGAGTATCAAATTCGATGAGTTTTAAAGTAATCAAGTACCAAAGTGTGACTGTAAATTGGCCCTATACTGGGATACTCCTTTAATATTAAAGCAGGCTGTGCTGTTTACAACTTGCCTTAGCTTTTCATTTCCTTCATGCACTGAGTCTAAAGATTAGAGAGAAGGCCAGGCGTAGTGGCGCACGCCTGTAATCCCAGCACTCGGGAGGCTGAGGCAGGAGGATCATTGTGAGTTCGAGACCAGCCTGGGCTACAAAGTGAGCTGAAGGCCAGTCTGAACTGCAAAGCGAGACCCTGTCTCAAAAAGAAAAAAAAAAAAAAAAAGAAGATTAGAGAGAGGTGAAATGTTATGGTGTTCCAGGCGTCCTGTTTGGGGCAGGCGTATGATTTTCTAGACACCCAGGTATACATGGGAGAATAATAAAGCTCTTACTCTCCAAAGTATCTTATTCCCCAGATTTTCCTCCCAAGTTTTTTGCTTATCTACTGTTCTCCCCAGGCAGTAGCTTGTTCATTTGCCTTGACATATTTTTGAGGAATATCCTAGAAACATAGCTCTTTCTTCACCCTGAGAGAATTTGAAGTTATGTCAAAGACAGTTAATCCCTTTTCGTCAGTCCAGGGAGCTCCTAGACAGGTTGAAATAAACAAATGCAATTGCTTGGGAATAAAGTCTAGTCTTCTCACTTTAGAAACAGGAGCCCATACTTGGAATGCAGGCTGCCATTTTCCAAAGGGGGCGGGGGTGGCGGGTGAGCCAAAGGTACATTTACAAGCTCTTTTTTTTTGTACCTGGAATCAAATTCAGGACCTTGCACTTGCCAGGCAGGCACTGTGCTGCTGAGCTACATCCCCAGCCCCAAAAGTGGTCACAAGCTTTTTTTTTCAAAGGTAAATTTATTGTTTTATTTTTTTTTTTGGTTTTTGGTTTTTTTTCCAGTACCAGGAATCGAACTCACGACCTCTGCTTGCCAGGCAGGCGCTGTGCCGCTGAGTTAAATCCCCAGCCCCTCAAAGGTAAATTTAAATACCACAAAACTCTAACTGCTGGGTTTCAGTGATTCTTCTCAGGATTCAGCATTAACTTGATTGCTGTAAACATTAGACTATATTATAGAGTTCCAATAACTTTGCCTCTGACAGTTTTTCCCTTTCAGTGTTTCTTGCGAGGGACTGAACCTCACAGTATCCTTTCACTAACATCAGTCAGTCCTGCAAGTTTTGCTTGTTAGTTTAAATCTTTATGTTAACATCTTCATTTGTTTAGTAGTGCGAACTTTTTTTTTCTGAAAGGAATAGAACAAACCACAAGAAACACGACTAGAAACTTTTCTACCATTAATGAACTTGTGAAAATCAATAAAATGTTTATTTTATATATGCAAAGTCAAAATCTCTTTGAACACTTACATTTTTACAAATTATTACAAACATAATACTGCTCCATATAAACTTTTGTATAAACTTTAAAGGAAATATACACATTTCTTTTTCTTTTAGTGCTTCCAAAGCACAGAAAGATGCACAAGTCCACCTGAAGACTTTTTGTCACATGCAAGAACAAAATGTCCAGGGTTAGGGCAGCCTCAGGTGTACTTTGTAATGTCTCTAGACAAAATAGAAGAAAGTTGGAGGTAGATTATTTGGTGACTCTCCCTGGCCCTTCCCAAAGAAAAATAAGTTACCCAAATAGCAGCTTCTTACTGATTCCAACTATCCTGAACATTGCATGGTTTCAAAGGCACAACTAGGGATTACTGGTAACTCTGTTCAGCATACATAAGACGGCCACTTGGGTTCTGTATGCTTATTCTTTCTAAAGGACATGGCAAGAACATTTTAAGTAGTGCTCCGCTTGCTGCTGTCCCCTCTTCACTCTGAAAATGCCTAGAGCGGCAAAGTTTAAATGAGCGAACCCTTACTACCTACGGTAGGGGCAGCAGCGTTTTATGAATTTATGAATTTTACTCAATTAACAGTACCACCTTCTTCAACTGGGAAAAGAAACAACAAAGCAAAAATGGATGCTTCCAACCAAAACTCCTAACACAAAAGCCCAACTTTTACTCAAACAAAATGAAAAGTTCCACCATTTTTTCTTAGACTATGGAGGGCGACTCCCTTGACTCAAACATTTTAGGAGGCTTCAACAATATCTTGTTCCATTTTACAACACAGAAAACGTGTCCTTTTTTCTCATGGGTCTTTGCATTAATATGAAGATCTGCTGTTTATGTGATTAACATTGTTGAGAAGGTAAAAGGAATCTATTTTTTCTAGTACATTCTCCAAGTACTGAATTAAGACTCGTCTTTTAAACCTGAAAGCAAAGAGAAATTTTACTAACCAAAAGATACTTACAGCACTTATGATGTACCAGGCATACTGTGTGGGATACAAAGTCAAACTTACAATCTACATGGCAATACTGGTTTAGAAAATACTGATAATGCCAACTGAGAACCCAAGATCACACTGGTCTATCGGCATGAATGAACTGGACTCAGATAATTATCTATCAGTCTAAACATCTCTGGAGAGGTGGCCTTATCTATGATTGAGGATCAGAGTTTGAGAAAATCAACACAGAGGCATTCCTTTCTTTGTCCGGCATCAGGACCCAACTGCTCAAACAAAATAAAACCTTGAAGGGTTCCTGCTTATACCCACCTCGCAGCTTCCTTTATGGTAAATTCAACAAACTGTTTTTTCATCGCCAGAGGCCCCTGTACTTCTTCAAGCAAAATAAAAATTCTTTCATATTCTAAAGAAATAAAATAACCACAGTATTTTAAGTACAAATGGGAAATAAAATAAAATAGTTGTACATCCTCAATAATCATTATTCATGGGCAGAAGGTTAGGTACAGTTGGTATTTTAAACACTCAAATAAAAATGCCTGCATATATCTACTAAGGAAACTTGTAAATATATCTACTAAGGAAACTTGTAAATATATCTACTTGTAAATATATCTACTAAGGAGACTTGTAAATATATCTATTAAGGAAACTTGTAAACACTATCTAAATGCAGAAGGGTGAATAATGGCTATTTGAAGTTGTCCTTATCTCTGGAGACTGCAAATAATTACCTTATATATCCTAACTGCAGATACATTTGAACTAAGGACAGTGAGATGGGGAGATTAACTAGGTTTGTGCATGTGGGTTCAAGAATCAATATAAGACAGAACAGTAAAGATCAGGGAGAAAAGACATAAGGCAAAGGAGTAGTGGTCATAGAGGAGAAAAAGGGCTAATGCTGCTGACTTGACAGGGGAAAGGGCCATGGGCCAAAGGGGCAGCCTTTAGGAGAAATGCAAGGAAACAGATTCTCCCTGAAGCCCTTGGAAGGAACCTGCCAGCACCTTCATTTTAGCCCAGTGAAAAATATCTTCAGAATTCTAACTTTTAGAATGTATGGTAATAAATTTGTGTTGTTTTAAGCTACTAATTCTGAGATAATTTGTTACAGCAGTAAAAGGAAACTACTACAAGAAGCAAGGGGCAAGGGTGATCGTTATCTTTTTTGTTAAAGCCAGAGGAATTGCTTTAAATTATGTAAAAACCCAGTACTGCCCAAATATACACCTCAAGAGGTAGCTTGAATCTATTCTGAACCATAGGATGAGAACCTCCTATTGTATCTTTGATAGATGTTCCACCACTTACTTCGTCCAAACTTGCGAACTTCCTTCATTAATTGATGTTTTATATCAGCATTGATTCCATGTGCCATTGCAGGGGTGATTTGCAAACTATTTGGCATACTTTCTAAAGTAGATGGTACTGTGATAGTTTGGTCATCTATAGACAGATTGCAGTTTTGAGCTCCTCCTATAAGTACATTATTAGCAGGTTTGTGAATCAGTCCGTCTTTCCTGAGACTAGTAAAGTTATCAGATAGAGAGTCCAACTGATTGGATGGAAGGCCATCTCCTGCCCCATTCAGAAGCTCTGCTGGGGCGGATTTTGACAAGAAGCCATCAGGTGGGGTTTGTCCATTTTCTATCGTCTCCTGAACATCGTGAATGACAGTGGCATCTGGAAAGCAAATTAAAAAGTTGAGCCGTGACATAAGTACATTATGTCAACCCTACAAGTACATCACTGTGCTCCTCAGTTTGAAAAAAGGGACTTATTTCATGAAGCAGGAGGATGTACCAGATAGAAATCTGAGACTTCTCAAATTGAATTGAAGAACTTAATGAAATAAGATCACCTTCTTCCCTCTTGCCACTATGAAAATACAAAAACCAAGATAGCACAAATAATGAACACAGGTGCTTGGTTATCATGGTTTAGCATCAGTCTGTTATGCTTCATAAGGTGAAAAGTAACAAACCTCAGGTGATGTCATCTCAGTCACATAAATGGCCATCCTTCACTGAGCGTGAAGGCAGACAACTTGTGTATACCACATTCTGCCTCTTGTCTGTATCAAATATTCTGAGAAAACAGAGGTGCTCATTGAGGCTGAACATTGTATTTCTACTCCATCACCAGAAACCTCTCTGTATACGATTCTCTTATCCTTCCCTTGTGTATGAAAGAAGCAGAATTTGTTTTATTCCTGGTCTGTCACCTGCCTGTCATTTACATATCTTCTGCTGTGCCAGGCACTGTACCAGGATCTGGGGATCAGCATTCAGCAAGACAGAACCTGTCCCAGTCCTTCTGGAACACACCTTGCCATGGGGAAGGAGGCAAGGATATGAGACAAAGCCAAAGAGGGGGCCTCTAGGGCCCCGGGAGGGTGGCAGCGTCTTTTGAAAGGTGTCTCCTGAGTAGAGCCTGAGGAGGGGATGGAGCAGCCCAGGCAGATACGGAGAGAGGGCGCAGGCTATGATAAGAGCACGAGGCGGAGCCAAGAGCAGCGGAACCAGGGGCCACAGAGTGATGGGCAGAGGCAGAGAGAACGAGGAAGAACCTGTCAGGACCAGGTGAGGAGAGGCTGGTGGAGCCAGGCCAGGCTGTGGCCCACAGTCATGAGTTCAGGCTGTGTTCTGGATGCTTAGGACTGTGGAGGTCAGGTTTTCAGGGTGGACATGGCCTGACCTCATTTCCACATGATCTCTCTGGCTGCAGAGTAATGAATGGGTTGGGAGCACGAGCAGGAGTCAGGGAGATGAGAAAAGAAGCTATCATAGTGGCTTAGTGAGAGATCATGGCAGTGAGGGATCAGGGATTGAGACAAGTGGTGGGATACAGAGATTATATTGAATGTCAAATTCCCCGGACTTGTTAAATGGATGGAAGTGAGAGAAGAATAAAAGAAAAACCATGGACAAGTCCAAGGTCTATCACCTGAACCAGTGGGGAAGCGATAGTGCCCAAAGTATGCAGAAGCCAGCAGACTGTTACTCTTGGGAGTGGCTTGTGGCTAATTCTTCCCAACTCTGATTCAGTAACTTCAGGTACACAGCTTGGCATTGGTAATATCAGCATTACTTATACCGGAAAAATTTGCAAAAACTGCAGTCCAGGGTTTGTCTACCCTCCCAAGGCCCAGAGGTGCTGGATGTTATTAAGTGCCCTGTAGAAGGGTGTGAGGAGAGCTGTTTTGGAGGAGGGCATGGTCTGTACATCAGTTGAAACCCATGAAACCTACTGAGTTTTATACGTCTATTAGACACCTGAGGAGATGCCGTGTCCATGGTTAAATCAGAGTGTGGAGTTGAGGAGCGAGTCGTAGTCTAGAGGTATAAATATCAGAGTTTTGAGATAGAAATCCAATTTATAGTTTCGAGACTGCATGGGATTACCCAGGGAGAGTACACTGAAGAGAAGAGGTCCTAGGACTAAGCTTTGCGCCCCCTACAGTATGCAGACGTGGGAGAGAAAGGGGAGAAAACAGAAGCACAGGACAGAAAGGAGCCACTATGATAGGGGAAAGAACTTAAGGTATCTGGGAACACAAGAAGCTGCCGGCGGAGGAGGGAGTGAGTAACTGTCAGGTGCTGCTGGAAGGAATGACAAGGTGCAGCAGACTCTGGTGACCTCGAGAATCGTCTCAGTGGGGCCAAGGAGGAAGAGAGGACACTACAGCGGGTAAGAGCGTGAATAGGTGACAGCACAGAAAGCAAGCGCAGATCCATCCTCTTAGCGCAATCACCCTTCCTGCCTCAGAAACCTGCTCCAGGGGTTGTAGCGAACACGGGCACAATGCTCCACTCATCAGTTACTTACTAAGCAACTTAGTAATTACATATTAATACAGTGTGTTAATGACTATATAATTATGGCTTTCCTCTCATATACATTGAGATTTTTGAAACAGGGCCTCTGCTTCCCATAAGACCTGTTGTAGTGACCACATAGATGATGTAATACGTTTATTTAGTGAAAAAAAAAAAACCAGAGAAAGGGAACAGAAGAAAAGGAAAATAAAGTTAAAGTTATTGAGCATCTTAGTGCTGCGAGAGCTGTGAGGACATCACAAGCACTACTCTGTACCTGAATGTACAAGGCTGGGTTTTAGGAGGTTTGGATAAGGTGGGAACCACAAGGCCGAGAGTGATCCCCTTTCGCCCACATGGTTAGTCACAGTGGGCGGCGTTTGTGGTTTCCTCAACAGCAGGGACGTACTCCGCCTTCTCTTAGCTGACATAGGATTGGGTTCTCCAGGACGTTTCAGTTTGTTTTGTGGCCCTGCTACAAATTCATCTGCTTCATCAATCATCATTCCCTGGGAAACATCAATGAACATATTCCAGTAGAGACAAAAATTCAACTGTCACAAAATTTCAGTCTTCATAGGCATAAACGATCCATCATGAGTTTATCACTTATGTAAGTCAGTCATAGGCCAAAGATTTACTAATTCTATTCTCAGAAAATACAACTCATTCTAATCCTATGCGTGCACAACCAGGACGAAACTAACACAGTGATTAACTGGAAAGTCTACAGAATGAGCAGGGCTATCCAAAATGGAATAAACTCACAGTTACTATTTTGGAGAAATGTCAGCCGTTTTGCGTCAAGATGTCGGTTGGGGAAGTATGGTATATTCTCCTTCTGGTGCTTTTGTGCTTTAAACTCATCATTAAGAAACATACCATAGTGATACGTGTATACCCATGTTTATAGCAGGATAACTCACAATAGCTAAGCCCCAGAAACAACCTAAATGACTGTCAACAGATAAATGGATAAAGAAAACATGGTAGATTTACACAATGGACCATTACCACAGAGAAGAAGGAAATAATATTATTTTAGAAAACTGGATGGAGCTCAAGACTAACATGGCGAGTGAAATAAGCCAGACTCAGAAAGCTACATAAACAAAGTTACATATCACGTTTTCTATTATATGAGACACTGAAAATATAAAAATATAAGTGAATAAAATAAAGGAGAGATGACAGGAAACTAGAAGGTAGGTTCTTGGAGATGAATAGGGAAGGGGGTCAGGGGAAGGGGAGGGGAGGGGCTAAAGGGATTGAAAGTGATCAAGATAGGCTACACGCACATACGAACTTCCCCAAACAGACATCAGTTTCGTATTGTAAACATGCACTAAAAAAAAAAAATTAATGCTGTTCAGAATGCTACCTGTAAATGGAAAATGTTCACCCTCACCTCAAATACGGATTTAAATATGTCCACCTTGGTGCTGGACAAGCAATGAGGAACTTTCACTCTTAGGGGGAGATAAAAGATGGTAGAGAGCAGTGTAGAACACTAGCTGAGAGCCATTCCCATCCAAGGATAACCCAAGAATATGTGCCCTCTTATTTGAACAAAATCATGATAAATGGCCTTTCCCAAGAATTTTTCCCCAGAAACCATACAGAAAGGGGGAAACATTTTCTCTGAGCATGTGCCACATGCCTGGCAATGTTCTAAATAGTGGTACACATGACTAACTCACTCCATATTCCACAGAACTCCATCACTTAGGTGTAATTATTATCCCTGAGGTGACATATGAAGAAACCAAGACAAAGAAAGATATTTATTTTTTATCTCTGTGTGTTTGAGTTACACAATAATTGCATTTGTTTTGGGGAATGGTACATACATTTTATATCTTGATCATTTTTGGACCCTTCCTAGGTCTCCTTTCTCATCTCCAAAAGCCTGCCTCCCTATTTCCTACAATCAAGGCATAGAAAGATTAAAACACTGCAATTAATTGAGGAGTAGAATGCGGCAGATGACCTCTGCTTCCACTTTTATTTACAAAATGATTACTGTTTGGTCTGTGCCTTAATAGCCATGGTCTTTTCCATAAGCAGATATAATCCCATTTTTTTCATGCTTAAGTGGTAAAGTCAATGTATCTTACACATACGCAGATGCAAATATACCCCATATTTAGATCTCTGGTTGTATAATTCAAATAGAGTGAAATCATCAACCACTTGATTTTCAAGGGGCACAGTCATTACTGTCTAGAATAGGGCATGTGAAGCCTATGGCCCCAAGGTCACTTGTCCCACCACTCTTTCTTTGGTGAGGGCATCAGGGTCTCCCTGTGTAGTTCAGGCTGACCTTAAACTCACTATATGGCCCAGTCTGGCCCTGAATGAACTCATGGCAATCCTCCTGGCTCAGCCTCCCAAGTGCTGGGATTACAGCATGTGCCAACCATGCCCAGCCATCTGTCTACTTTTAAAAAATGTTTTAATAAGAAACATAAAAAATGAAGGAAGTTTTGTGATTTATATACATTAACTTCTCTCAGTGCAGCCCAGGTAAGCCAAAACGCTGGACACACCTAGTAGAACACTAAAGATTGAAATTGTGGAAGTAAGACGAAATAATCAGTAATCACAATATTAAATGCAACAGTGTGTGGTGGTGGGAGTACATAGACTTTGGAGCCAGAAAGACATGGGTTCAAATCCTGGCTCTTAAAAGCTGTATCACAGTTTTTGATGCTTGACCACTGTCAGCTTTGATTTCTTCTTGCTAAAGGGCGAACAATACCATTCATCTTGCAAAATATTTATGAATGTTAAAATTAATCACTTGAAATACCAGCCCCTATTAGGTACTTGACAAACCGGCTATTAGTTTTAAACAATACACTTTTTGCATCAAGAGACTTCCAGTTTCCATCCACGAAGTGCCCTGGTGGCATATTTTATGAGTTGTGCTCATCTTCCTAAAAATAACTACAGCCAAGAATTTTATAATTTAGACAGAGATAGAAATAGGTATACTACCTTTTTATCTTGTTTAAATGGATTGCCAAAAGTATGCAGTCTTTTTGGCTGATCTGGATCAATCTCTCGAAGTGGAGAAGCCAAAGTCTTCAGATATTCCTGATAGTTACCCATTTGTGCAACTGGAACACTATGAAGGAAATCTACAAAATCAACATTAAAGAAATTGATGTTATGTGGCCGAAATGCATGGTCCTTCTGAGAGGATATGATCATTGTCTGGTTTTGCAGTATATATCTCGGCATAAAATAAAGTCTAAAATCTCAAATCTGGCATTTTAAAATCTAGAATCACCTTTCTTCAATCATTACTTAGTCTATTATTACTACTGCCTTAGGACTCACATTACCAGGACCAGAAAAATTCCTTTACCCTCCAACCAGGTCTGACCTCCCTTGCACCCTCACCCCACCTCAAAACACTATGCATCTGGCATAGTGTATTTCAAAGAGCCTAAACTCTGTGGCATTCTCTCACCATGCAGAAAATCTTCATTAGTAGATCTTAACCTCTGAGGAGTTGATTAAATATTTAGGATCTCCTTAAAGAAAAGCTCCCATTGCCTTTAAACTTAGGAAAATAAGCTGTGCCTAAGGGGATGCAGCGATTCAGTGAAAACAAGCACTGTACACATTAAAGGATTAGGAAATAACCTGATTGTTATGTGATAAACACTGTCATGGAAGTCACACCTGGCATTTTCTTAATGAAAAGTACTCCCTTGCTTTTTTTTTTTTTTTTCATTATAAGATATATTTATTATTTTTCTGACCAAAGTGCAATGATTTTTAAATCTTCTTAAACAAATAACTATGAAAAGGTATTCCAGAAAATAAAGTACAAATGGGAAATCTAATCACTAGATTGCCGTTTTGCAATTTTACCCTAATCCTATATTTAATCTAGGAAACAAACAAAAAACCTCAATTGTTACTAATGCAAGAACTGAATCATTTCAGCATAAATCTAGCACATGCATTTCAAGGTTCTACTTCTAGGATTGTGTTATCAGTTTAACCACGAATAACACAATGTAACAGAGCAAAAGGAACACAATTACTGCATGTGATCCTTGCCCCGCACCCTCTGATTATGTCATAATAAAGCTGACAATTCTGTCAGGCTCTGAATCCCTTGTGACCCCAACCCAAACCTTGGAAGCAAAGACTATATGGCCTATCATACAACTTTGCACAAGCTGTCGTAACCTAAGTTTTATCTTTCTACAGGAAATGGTCAGTTATTTGATAAATATTAAAACATTGCTAGCAATCCATTTTCTGAGTTTGTTTACCAACACCTCATGTAAGAACTGACTACACAAGAAGTTCCTTACCTTCATCCTGTCCAACAATAAACTTGTGTGTTTTCAGTAGGTTGGATCTCATTCTGGTCAAATAATCCAAAAGATCTCTACGTGGAATATCATAAGCATTTCTGTATGTCTGAGGTTTCAAATTCTATTTGAAATGGGAAAATTTCAGTTACTCCTGAGGCTTCTAATATAGAAATATAACACTTAGATCTTTTAAAAATCTTACTGAAGATTTATTTATTTATTACTTTTTTTGAGACAGGGTATCCCTATGCAGTTTGGGCTGGCCTTCAGCTCGCTTTGTAGCCCAGGCTGGCCTTGAACTCGCAACGATCCTCCTGCCTCAGCCTCCAGAGTGTTGAGATTACAGGCATGTGCCACTACACCCGGCTGAGAGCTATATTTAATACAACTAGCTACAGTAGAATTTTCCCATTGGAAAATCTCTGATTTTTAACACACCTACAAAGTATTAAAGACATGGAGACTATACCTATTTCAAGTATATCACTTAAAACTCTAAATCTGGAGATGTAAACCTTGGTGGCCTTGCAGGGCCACTGCTTGTGATCTGGATTGTTTCCCTAGGCAGCCATGGAAGTTGGCTGCTGTCATCTGCCCGGACCACCACAGTGGCTGACCCTGGCAGGGAATGCACTTGGCTGAGCGCCCCTGCAGTGCCTTAGGGATGCCCTGTTCTACCAGGCAGACTGCCACTAGGGACTGAGAATGGTAGGGCGGTGGGGTGTGGCCAGCTGCCCACGCGAACCTCCTCCAGGGGAAAGCACTCATCAGAGGACGCTGCTGGGCTGCTGCAGACTTTCTCCAAGCCGCATGAGTGTCTGAGCCTCTCCTTCCCCATCCTCCTTTTACCCTCCCTGTTCTGTCAGCATTGTGTCCTAGAGGCGCTGCCCACCTACTGCAGCTCCCACTCTCCTTTATCTTTCACAGGTTTTACCAACTCCCCAAACATATCTTCTACATTTAATTCCATGTTGGCATCTACTGGCAGGATAATTCCTAAACTGCTCAAGTAGTAACTACTAAGGCCAACACAAGATTGTCACTATTTCAAAACTAAAGCAACAGGAATAACAGAAATGTACTAGGCAAGTTAAAACAAATAAAAGCTTTCTATATCACAATTTACCTTGTTTAAGAGCCCAATTTGGAAGCCAGCAAATTCTTTGGTATTCAGTTCTGTCAATCTCAGTGCAGTTTCCCCTGTGATTTCTTTCAATAGTTTTCTAAAATTTTTATTGTGACCCAAGGACATGCTGTGTCCAGAATGATTTTTCACTTTGATACCAATTTCCTGGGGAGGTTTCTTCCCCACTGATGCTAATATTCTTTCTGACTCTAGTTTGGTCTAAAATGAAAGTACATAGTATGTTATGAAAACATCTACCATATTGCTTCATTTTTACTACTTAAGAAAGATAATAATTTAAGAACCCCAGAGAACAATTTTCATTTGCAAATTACAGAGAAAGAAATAATTAAACATTTTCCTGTGCTTCTCTGTACTAGCACAGCAAAGAGAGGGGCTGGAAAGACAAATAATACATTTTTTTCTCTTGTCTACAGTCAAAATTGGGACTGAATCATGGAGAATGGAAACCATGCATAAGAATTTCATTCCTAGACATTTAAAAGCACATTGTGAAAAATAAAAGCACACTGTGTTACTGAAAAGTCTAGTTTAAATCAACATACTCATTTCAAACTAGACATAAAGGTTTAAGACTATATTTATATGTGTAAATTAGTGCTAAAATTCAGATTAGGTAGACTGGCATTATATCTGAAAATATTAAACTATATTTCTAACATTGGGGTATATAAAAATGTCTTATAAGGTAATGTTTAATTGAACAAATATTACCAAGTATAATTTGTAATGTGTACTCAATAAGCTTCTCACTCACAATGAAAAACCCTCTTAGTAGACATTATTACACTGTATTGACTAATTTTGTTTGAGAATGTATTACAGCAATGTATTTGGCATATTTTATGTTTCATATACAAGAGAGATAGTTCAAAGAACACTGGTAATATAGTTATTAAATTAAAAATTAAAAATATTATAAATTAGTAACAATCTTTTCTTTCTCTCTAAAAGAGGAAGTTCTACCAACGTCTAGTAAGCCCAAAATAGTTTGGATTTTCGTGTGGTTTGGTCAGAGATATTTATTTTCCCTAATTCTTGGAATTAAGTATATATTTATTAGCTCTAAAAATTTCCTAAGTCATGAAATATAAGAGCCAATGAGAAGTTTGTTTTCCTAAATGAGTTAGAGAACTCATTTATAAAACTGTACAAGCAATGTCCCCCAGAAGGGCCCAGAACTTGTATTAGTTTTAATTCTGTTCATTATTATTCCTGCTGACACAGCCTTAAAGGCTTAAGGTAACTATCAGATAAGAAAATCTATAGATCAATCAATAAATAAATAACATAAATAACCAAACCAAAACATTTACAACAACAACAAAAAATCTATTAGCAGAAAAGAATAGGGGTTAGAGGGACACTTGGTAGATCAGAAATCTGGGTTTACTTTTACTTTCTTTTGCATTTCTGAGCACACTGAACCGGTAAGAGCTGATAAGCTCCAGACTGTATTTAAGATAGTGCCAGTTCCTAGCTAGGCATGTCAGCATCCCAATTGGGTCCATTTGGTTCTTAATGAAATCTGACCCTCTGCTTAATACTGTCACTTTTCCAAAGGCCAAACTTCCAAACATATCCGGCTTGAAGCATCATAGTCACTGAAAATGCTACTATGGCTCCCTACCTTGGAATATGTTTGTGCCCAAGACAGTAAAGCTGCTGCATTGATTTGTTACATCACACAATTGTATGGCAGTAGAGCTCTAACTCAACAGTTCCCAAACATTTCCATTCTATAAGAATGGGCTAGGTAGAGGTGAGAAGTATGATAAGGAGGGGTGAGTGGAGGATGAGGTACTAATAGAGAGGGGCAGGCAAGGGACAAGGTGAATAATGGTAGATGAGGTGGGGTGTAAAGGAACAGATGGAGGGCAAGAAGAGAGGAGGCTGAACTCCTCTCTCCAGGTCCCCTTGGGGCCTCTCATCCTCGGGGTTAAGGAACACTAGTCTCATGTCCCCCCTCTCCAGGAAAAAGCAGATGGCTATTTATCTAAAGCCTGTGAGTGTAAGTGTGAGTGTAAGTCCTTCATGTGGTGCCCGAGAACAGATTTCAGGCAAGTCATTTACTCACAACAGGCCTCTGTGTGCTGACCTACAAAAGGGGGATGCTCTAGCCCAGAGCGATTTGAAGAGAAACTAGGTTGAGGATAGACAAAATGTGACCCAGAAGAGAATTCTATTAGGTTTCTGCCCCTCTTAGGCCACAGAATATCAGCCAGCTTGTGGGCAGGGCAAACTGGCAGGCAGAAGGAGAAATGGCACAGCATCAAATGATACTGACAGACCCTTAACTGTAGTTTAATGGTGAAGCTAGAAGCCATAGAGAATCACATTACTACTAATCCATAAAGTGTAGAGATATATACACATTTAATTTGAAAAATTACAATTACACTAGAGAATACGGAAATGCACTTCTGAGGGCAAAGGATTTTTGTTTGTTTGTTTTTACCAATACTACCTGTTGGCTGAGTTTTTTAAGGTAAGAGATAACACTGTAACTAAGTCCACAATCTAAATTATCTGATATCAGATTTGGAGCTCCCATCATCCTTAGTGCTTTCTTTAATGGCTATAAGGAAACAAAATACACAACAGTAAGAATAGAATAAATCTTAAAATACTCAAAGTTCAGTTATAAGGGGCAAAGGGATATGATTCATTTCTTAGAAGTCAAGGTGCTGCACATAAAACCAAACATGGAACATTAAAAAGTGGCAATGAAAATAGCAGAGACGGTAAGAAGCAGAAAGTAAAAAATCAGAAGAGAGTGGGATAAGAAGAGCAAGTAATAGCAAATTCAAACAAGTAAATTGCTTTCAGTCTTAATTTCCAAGTCACAAAATCATTTCACTTTGCATTTTATTGATATCCCATTGCTGCCATGGTCGGTAACAACACACCCCGATTTCTCCTCCCAGTTAGAACCGCGGTCTCACTGAAGATTCTAGATTCTGCCTTTTCACCTCTAGAAACTTAGCTTCCCTCAAACAAGGCCGTGATGTTTTACAGTGCTCCCATGCCATAATGGGTCTAGGACACACTTAATAGGCAATAAACAGCTGTATCTTCAAATTCTGTTTTCAGAGAGAAATGCCATAGTAAGAATTTCTAGAGTTAAAAAGGGAAGTTGGCGTGGTAAATAAAGTGAGACCTATTTATTCTTACATTCCAAAATTACAATTTCCTAGGGTTGGTTTGAATGAGAAACACAGATGTGTTTCATAAAAATAACCATGGCAGTGAGAAGAAACAGAGTAGAGAAAACAGTGCTCTTTTGTGCCATCATGACATCTCGGAACTCTCACACACGGTTTGAGAAGACAGTGATGGCACAAATCTTTGCAAAATAACAAGACGACTGTCTTATTGCAGGAATAAAGCTTTTGATTCATTATTTCTTAGGACAAGAATCATTCAGTGGCACAGTTAACACACACACATATATATATACATATAAATACCTACTAATAGGTAGTATGGAGGCAGAGTTTTTAAGTAGCTGTCAAAAGCCTGTCGCCACTTCAGATTTGGCTTAAGCTTGTGAACTTTAAACAAGTCATCTGTAATAGAAAAACCAAATGAAATATTACATTATTCAGGTCTTAAATTCCAAAATCTAAATTAAGCAGCTCACAGCTAGAAATCTCAGATTTTAATGACATTAGATAAACATTTCTTTGGAGTTTGATTATCTTTTCCTGGTGGTTGAATCTACCAAAATTATATGCCTTGGTCCCTTATTTACAATACTTTGACTTTCAATTTTTCGACTTTATGATAGTGGGAAAGTGATGTTCAGTAGAAAACAAACTTCAAACTCTGAGTAGTTTGCAACTTTGCTCAGTCTAGCAATATGCAGTATGATCCTCTCTCACAATGCTAGGCAGCAGCAGCGAGCGGTAGCCAGGCAATCATGAAGGGAAACAACTAATACAGCGCTTACAGTGCACTGTGCTGCTAAACTATGATGATCATTCGGCTAAGGGCATTAAATGCATTTTCAGCTTACGTGGGTTTATCAGACAACCCCAGTGTAAGTCAAGGAGCATATATATTCTTCTTTTCTAAAAAATGAAACAGGCTGGGCATAGTGGTGCATGCCTGTAATCCCAGCACTCAGGAGGCTGAGGCAGGAAGATTGCTTTGAGTTCGAGGCCAGCCTGGGCTACAAAATGAGTTCAAGGCCAGCCTGAACTGCACAGTGAAACCTTGTCTCAAAAAGACAAACCCCCCCCCCCAAAAAAAAAACCAACTCTCAAGTTACATATTCCTCTTCCATCTGTAAAGCTATATAAAATACAGTATTAAAATACTAATTCACTTGAAATATTTTCCTGACCTGTTATATTGCTAAGTTTACTGTAATACTTTTCACCTGCAGGCAAATTCATAGTCACTTGTTCAGAATGGAATAATATTTCTTTCATTTAAACATACAAGATGTTTCATGCTGAAAGATCAAGGTAAAGAGACTCTATGAGAGCAAATGGGAAACCTCTAACTGCTAGGTAATGATGGGCAAGCTCTAAATTTATGTACATATGTAGTCTTTTTGAGACAGGGTCTCAATATGCAGTTCAGGCTGGCCTTGAGCTCACTTTGCAGCCCAGGCTGTTCTCAAACTTGCAGCGATCCTCCTGCCTCAGCCTCCTGAGTGCTGGGATTACAGGCGTGCGCCACCATGCCCAACTCTAAATTATATTGTGGATACACATAAGTGCCTCATACTTTGTGTAGCCATATCCTCCTCCTTTATTTCTTTGATTTCTGCATTTCAGCTTTTTTTGGGGGGTGTACAGTAATGACAATGGAACCCAGGGTCTTCATAGTGAGCTACATTTCCAGTCCCTTTTTTATTTTTATGTTTTGAGAGAGGGTCTTGCTAAGACACTAAGTTGCCTAGGCTGGGTTTGAACTTGAGAGCCTCCTATCTCAGCCTCCCAGAGTGCTGATATTACAGGCATGTACAGCACCCAGCTTGTATTTCAGTATTTTGATCCAAACTTTGTGTCACTCAAATATAAACTGTTAATTATTGGATGATTCTAACAGCATGCACAGATGGGTTCTTTAAAATTATCTACAGCTAAACACTTAATTACCATGTCCATCTATAGAACTAAAGATATTTACCTTAAAGATGCAGGCATTTTTTATCTTTTCAGACTTAAATTTAATTATTTTAATGTTCTAAATACATTACATATATACTGCAAAAAGATATCCAAAACATCTCATATTTTCCTTCCAAGTGCAGGAAAAATGTTTGTAATATAATTCAAAATTTGTAACGGACCTCAACATGAACCTTCCACACAAACTATAAATATCAAAGATAGTATAAATTCATATTCTATTTTGTTTCCTGATGTTTTCTTGTTTGTTATCTTTTTTAAAAAATCAAGTGCTTTACTTCCAGAGATAAAACTATGCATAATTTCTCTAGACATACAGGCATTCTTGGAAATTCTGAATTACTTTAGTTAAGAAAAGCAATTGTACATTTTTTCCCTTTTGCTGCTATTATACATTATTCACTCCTGCTGAAAAGAATTTAAATGAATTTACAGAGCCATAAAATATAGGTCTTTTGTTCTTTTGGTATTGGCTAGAAAGAACAAAGAAAATAAAGATCCAAAGAGATTTCTGATTCACTGCAGCAGGCGGGTCTTTTATAGACCATTCATATATTGACAGAAAGAAATGAGACACCATAGAAACAGTCCATTATACTTTGTCTTTATGTGGAGTCTGCTGGGAATTAGGATTTTGAAAACTGACAAATATAAGTACAGGAGAGGTTCTTAGATATAAATAGATTAGCTAATCAGACTCAGTAATACTCTTAGTATTCTAACAGTGACAAGTGCAATGATTATGCCCAGGAGCTGCTTTAGTCTATTTATTTCCTGCCAGATTTTTTGAATGAGGGTCAGGGGAAAGAATAAAATATACCATATTCTAGATGGACCGTAAAGAGCTCTTAGGGTGATACTGTTTTAGTCACTACGTCTGTAGCTCAGAAAATGATTTTCACACCGTTGGATGTCCATTCACACAAGTTCGTAGGGTGGCACAGTAAAGAGGTCATAAACAATTATCTGATCCACGTTTGAAAGAAGAGGCAGTGAGAGTTTAATTAAGAGTAAAATGGTACTTCTTTTTTTATAGCAGCCAAATGCTTATTTCTTCTTTTTTTATTTTAAAGAGAAAAAAACCAAAAATTTCAAAACAATAGGAGGGTAACAACGGTTAATACATTGCATATTGTTATTTTTAAATTAGTTACTTACAGAATACGATATTGGCATTTAATTGTCCAAACAATATTAGCACAAAGCTTTCTTTTCAATGAACTGACAGCAATTAGTAGTATAACTATCATAACTATCTTATATGTATATATATATTTTCCCCCCTTCCTTCTTTTCTCCATTCCTCCATCGTGGTTTCTCTTTCCTTTTGAAGTTTCTTCCCATATAATGATACTTCTAACACCTCAGAAGCTACTGACATTTTTTCTTTAAGTTCCTTTCTCCTATTTTCCTCTTCAGAGAGGGCTGACTCAGATTTCAGTCAGAGCTCAGTGATTTCCTTAGCTGAGAGCATCTGGATAAATCACTTTACCTTTCTGAGTCTCCACTTCATCTGTAAAATGGGATAAATGATAATTGCCTTACCACCGGACTGTTTGGAGGAACTAGATCACATAAGAAAGTGAATAAACAAGCCAGTTTGAGCTGGTAAGCTACACAGTGATTTATACCCATCATATTATCTTCCTTCTAGTTTCCCTTCTCACACACCTTCCTTTCTTCCTCCTGACCATGACTGATCTTAATATGGAACTGGTCTTTATTTTTTACACAAGTCCCTAGTCCTTAATTTTAAAAAAAAGTGAATTAAATGTGGTATACTCAAAAAAAGAAAAGTTTTTACAAACATCCTAATTTCTGTTGATATTGGCCTTCAATAGAAAAAACAATTTCTTAATGGAAGGAGTATATTTTTCATCTGGAAGACTGATGACTTCCCTGTTGACATGATTTTTCTGGTAATTCATTAAGTCTCACTTATCTATTCCATACACATGGATGTCATACCTGTGGATTCAAGTTTGGATTAAAAGTCTTAGAAAAAAATGTATCTGTAATGAACATTTATATTTTTCTTGTAGGACCTGCCTCACCTCACGCTTTTGCTCTATAAAAATCCCTAGAAAAGGCAGGATCCTCAGCTTGCTCTGGACCCCTTCTGTCTCTCTCTCAGACAGAAGCTTTCTTTCCCTAATAAATATATTCTGCTCTGTATTTTTCTTGTCATTATTCCTTAAATAACACTGTACAGTAATCATTGACATAGCATGTACATTTTATTAGATGTTATAAGTAATCTAGAGATGATCTAAAGCATATGGGAGGATATATTTAGGTTCTGTGCATGCACTATGCCATTTTACAGAAAGGACGTGAGAATCTGAGGATTCTGGTATCCATGGGAGGACTGTGAACTGTATTTTATAATTTCAGGCAATTTATCTTATAGATTTTTTGTGACAAAGAAAAATGTAATACAGAATAGTGATGTTTAGCAGAATTGGTACATGCATATAATATTATTTTCAGGTAAGTTTAAGAACTTAAACAGTAAAATTCTGTTAGTATTGATGAAAATGTTACATTAATAAAGAAGACATAGGGAACATCATTATGGACAGTTATTATACTATCCAGAAATATAGTTCAGTTTCTGGGCATTAGAAAGAATGTGTGATTTCACTTGCCTTTTTACTAAATATCTCTGACCACTAAAACTATAAAAGTATTGCATATTTTAAAAAATATATTCTTAGTATAATAGTGTTGTGTTCCAGTTAAAATAATATAAATGTTAATAATAACAATAATAATGATAGCATTTATAGAGCACTTATTATTTGTGAGGCAAGTTTTAATCAGTTTAATAGTATTAACTGGATTCTAAGTAAATTCAATTGAGGTAGGTGGTGTCATTCCATTTCACAGATAAGAAACTGAGGCACAGAGAGGTTACGTATCTTACTCAAGGTCACAAAACTCACAAATAGTAGAGCCATGATTCAGTCAGGCGGCTCTATCCTATAGCCCTACTCTTATTCATTATGTATGTCATACTACTCGGAGAATGATTTCAGGTGAAAATGTGACTCTGTCAACTTCAGAACCCTAACGCAAAACCCAAGTTTGTGAGTGAGGAGCAGAAGTACCTCCAGCTTCAAAAGATGAAAAACTCTATAGGCCTCTTGGAAGATGCAAGTTACAGAAAAGCCTGGAGATGGAAATTTAAAGCCAGAGGGTAGAATTGGAATTGACCCAAGAAGGGGATGGTCCTCAACTGGATGTATCAACTCAGAATCTCATATTCAGCAAAAACATCTTTCAGGACTAATGGGAAATCAAGATATTTTCAGGTGAAGGGAAACTAAGAGAATTTTTTACCATCAAACCTGCTCTAACCAGGCGTGGTGGCTCATGCCTGTAATCCCAGCACTTGGGAGGCTGAGGCAGGGGATCACTGCAAGTTCAAAAACAGCCTGGGCTACAAAGTTAGGTCAAGGCCAGCCTGAACTGCATAGCAAGACCCTGTCTCAAAAAGACAAAACTGCTCTCAAATGGCTTTAGGAAATTCTCTAAGCAAAAATTTGAAACAATAAGAGGACAAACCTTGGACTATCAGGAAGGAACAAGAATATTGTAGGCAAACATATGGGTAAATAAAGTAGAGTTCCCTTCTCCTCTTGAGTATACTAAATTATGTTTGGCAGTTGAAGTTAAAATTGTTATAAGCTGGGCGTAGTGGTGCACACCTGTAATCCCAGCACTTGGGAGGCTGAGGCATGAGCATCCTTGCGAATTGAAAACCAGCCTGGGCTACAAAGTGAGCTCAAGGCCAGCCTGAACTGCAGAGTGAAACCTTGTCTCAAAAAGACAAAAAAAAAGTTGTCACAGTGCCTCATGTGTTTCTAAACAGAGATAGAGATTAGTTAAGATAATTTTATTATAAATAGAAAAAGGTAAAAGAATGTCAAGTTTCTATATTTCATTCAAATTAATAAAATAATGACACTGGTTGATTGCATAACTTACGTATATATTACATCTACAACAACCCCTTAAAAATCTCTCCAGACAGATACAATCAAAAATGTAAGAGATAAAATGAAGATAAAACTTAAAAATTTTTCAAGTAGCTAAAAACAAGCCAGAAAAATGAAAACCAGGGAGAAAAAACATTAAGTAAAAATATAAATAAGGAGACTTTAAGACCCACTTGAACAACAACTACATTAAATGGAGATGTCTAAATATACCAATTGAAAGGTCAACATTGGCAGAATGGATTGAAAAACACAAATGGAAATGGGTTTTCTACCAGAAAATCATTTGAAATTTAACAATTATAGGGAAGTTAAAAATAAAATGATAGGAAAAGGATATATCATCCAGATATTAAAGAAAAGCTGAAGTAGCTATAATAATATCAGATAAAGCAGAGTTGAGAGCAAAGAAAATTAGCAGAGATACATAATGTAAAATCAATCCAGGATGACTACATAAAATCCTGATGCACCAAATCACAAGGCTGTAAAAATTGTGAAGCAAACATTGATGGAACTGAAAGAGAAATAGACAAATCCACAATTATAGCTGGAGATTTCATATTTTTCTCATAAATTTATAGAAAATCAACAAAGATGTAGCAGAATATTAACCAATAGGAATGATTTATAATATTTCACCCCAAAAGAGGACACCACACTTTATTCTCCAGCAGTGATTGAATATGTACCAAGATAGACAATATCCTGAGCCATAAAATGTGAAATTTTTATAAGAATGGATATCATACAAAATATATTCTCTGACCATAATAAAATCAACCTAGGAATAGGAACTAGGAGCAGAAAAATAACAGGTAAATTTCAAAATACTTGGAAATTAAACAATACACTTCTAAATAATATATGGGTCAAAAAAGAAGTTGTAAGAGATATCAAAAGATATATTGAAGTGAATGAAAATGAAATGTAATATGTAAAATATTACAGGAAGCAGCTATTATCAGTGCTTAGAGAAATTTATGACACTAAATCCTTATAATTAGAAAAAAAGGAAAGATCTCAAACCAATAACCTAAGAAATAATCTAAGATACAATCTCAAAAATTAAAAAAAAGAAAAGCAAAAGGAGCTCCAAGCAAGAAAAAATAATGAAGAAATCAATGAGAGTAAAAAAAGGAAAAACAATTGATAAAATTAATTAAGCAAAGTGCTGTTTTGTTGACAAAAATCAATATAAATGGTAAACCTCTAACAAGGTTTACAAAGGGAAAAGAAGACATAAAACTCATGTTACTATTTCAGGAATGAAATAAGCAATATTCCTATAGACCCTGCATCCATCAAAAGGACAATAATTACTAGGAGTAACTCCACATATATAAATTTGACAACTTAGATAAAATGGACCAATTCATCAAAAGCATAAATAAGTACGATCAACAAAACAAAATAATAATTTAAGCAACCTGATAACTATCAAAGAAATTAGATTATTAATTTTAAAACTCCCAAAAGGAATTTACAGACTAATAATTTCACTGAAAAAATTTTATCAAATGTTTAAAGAATAGTAATATAACATCAATTATGTATAATCTCTTTCAGAAAACATATTAAGAGACTACTTCCCAATTCATTTTATGAGGCTATTATAGTTTGGGCCTTTTTTATACAGTTTCTGCATCCACAGAGTCAACCAACTGCAGACTGCAAATATCCAATACTGTGATGAATATAAATGAGCAACTATATCTTCAAGAACCTGGATTCAAGTCTTTCAGATATATACCTAGGAATGGTATTTCTGGATCACATGATAATTCAATTTTTGTTTTGAGATAGGGTCTTAATATGTAGTTCAGGCTGACCTTGAAACCACTATGTAGCCCAGATTGGCCTCAAACTCCTGGCAATCTTGCCTCAGTTTCTCATGTGCTGGAATTATAGGTATGTATCACCATGTCCAGCTGGTAATTCCATTTTTAATATTCTAAAGAACCTCTATTCTTTTTCCCATAGTAGTTGTACCATTTTACATTCCTAGTCACTGTGCGCAAAGATTCCAATTTCTCCACATTCTCACCAACACGTGCTATTTTCTGTTTTTGATAGTGGTCATCCTAATGGGAGCAAGGTAATATCTCATCGTACTTTCATTTATATTTACTCTGGTTAGTGATTTGAGTATCTTTTCATGTGCCTGTTAGCTATTTGCATATATTTTTTGGAGAAATATCTATTCAAGTCCCTTGCCTGTTTTGTAATTTGGCTATTCAATCTTTCTTTTGAATTTTCAGAGTTCTTTATATAGCCTGATACTAATCCCTCATGAGATATATGATTTACAAATACATTTTCCTATTCCATAGGTTGCTTTACATATTATTGATTATATTCTTTGAAACATAAGAGTTTATAAGATTGACTTCTTCCCATTTTTTGATTTGTTTTCACTTACCTATGTTTTTGGTGTCATCTCTTTGTACGATTTCTTACAATTACATGATAATCTACAATTATCTCCAAATAATAAGTGTGTAAGTGATATCATGTAGTATTTGTCACTCTGTGTCTGATTTATTTCACTTAGCATGATATCCTCCAGTGTAGTGCCTATAGTTAGCAAATACCATGTTGTGTTCTTGAAAACTTACTAAGAGGATAGATCTTAGGGTAAATGTTCTTATTTTAAAATAATAATAGTATGTGAAGAAAACAGAAGACTTTCAGAAGTGATAGATACATTTATGACATAAATTACAGTGATGGTTTCATGGGTGTATGTTCATCTACAAACTAAGCAAGTTGTATACAGCCTTTTTATGCCAATCATACTTTAATATAGCCATATTTTCTTAAGAAAACTTTGGGTTCCTAGAAGGTTAGGATTAGGGTTATCCCTAACAAAACCCAGAGTTTTCTGAACTCAATTAGTGTACAGAAATGCCAAGTGCACTTCAAAATGGGAGAGGATGCTCACTGGAGCTTGCAACCTAGAGAACAACAGTGAGAGCACACACCAGAGGTCAAGTGCCTCTTTTCTTCTACGGACAAACAAGAAAAACAAAACATGTAACATGCAAACTCTACCCCATGAAAAGCAGTTTTTACAATTTCTCTATTCTGTGATCCATTTTTCTTTGGTGCATTAAAAATTCTTAACCCGTTATCTACATTTGTTTTTGCTATATTTTACAGATGATTAAGTGGCACATATTCTACTTACCTAAAAGAGGAAGTAAAACTGGGTAGTTGTAAGGCATCACAAAGAGGTTTACACAAGTTAAAGTTGTACTGGCTTTTAAGTAACCAAATGGATATCCAAGTTCATTGTATTTTCCACTACTAGTAACAAATACCTGCGAAGAATATAAATAATGGCAATTATGACAATAATGAAGTATATTAAACTAAACACATAGTAACAGTCCATAGTAACATCAGTGGCACAATTTAACTGTAATTTAAAATAGGAATGGTGTTTTTAGCCTACATTTATGTCCAAATACATCATACTAAACTTAAATGTTCAGATTGTGGGCCGGGGATATAGCTCAGGGGCACAGAGCCTGCCTGGCAAGCACAAGGCCATGAGTTTGATTCCCGATACCAAAAAAAAGTTCAGATTGCAATTTTTCATAAATTACAATAAAAAATTAAACTATATAATGTGATACTATACATGTAAGAAATGAAACTATACAATGTAACTCAGGGGCCATAGGCCACATCAAAAATACCCAAGTATTTACTTGGTTAGCACAATGGAAAATAAAGCCAAAATACCACTAAGTGATACCAGCCATTAAAACAAGTAAATTTCTTAAAAGAATAGGTGATGATCTGAGTACAGACTTTTAGGAAAAGGGAATATGGTCGCATGTCTAATGCACACAATTATGAAAAATGTAGCCTATTAAAGGATTATATACACAGTCCTCATGTGTACTACTATTAAATCTTGCTCTATTTCTCTTTGCTGTTCCTTTCCCCTACACATTTGTCAATTTTTCACTTCATAAATATTTATTAAGTAGCTATTATAAGGCAGGCACTATGGCAAATTATTTTGAGGAAGCAAGGAGATACTTTGGTAGAATGTGGAAGGCTTTTCTCTTGGATGTTACAGCAAATATTCAATGAAGATTAAAACATTAATCTTATTCTATATGAGTATGTTCTTAGTCCTTATTGAAATTCCTGACTTGATTTGTACTATAGTCAGCGCATGTACACAGTTCTGTAGCTATCGTGCTTATATGTATGTTCCATGTTCCTACTCTTTATTAGTATGTGTTTGGGATACATAATGGACACATTCATCTTGGGGAGTCAGTACAAGTACACATCACATCTTAGTCCTTTTTACTTCCCCTTCCCCTCTGCTCTGCCCCCCATCTTTAAAATCCTCTTCCCATTGGCAAAAGATCTACTCCCTGTTTCCTCTTAGCTTTTATTTTACTCTTCAAATTATTTATACTTTTGGTTTCTCATGTAAAAGAAACCATATGATACTTAAGCTTTTCTCTCTGATTATTTCACTAAGCATTATGGTGTTAAGATACACCCATTTTCCTACAAATCACTAAAATTTATCAAAACATGGAACTCTTCAGAAATTTGTGTATCTTCCTTGTGCAGGGGCCTCTTTATCATTCCAATTTTAGTGTATGTGCTTCGGTGCTTGCCGAAGCAAGCACCATGTTTGTTTTTTGAGACAGGGTCTTGCTATGTAGTTTGCAGTTCAGCCTAGCCCAGAACTCACTATGTAGCCAGACTGGCTGGGAATCATAGCAAGTGTTCTGAACCTGAGCCTCCCCAGTGCAGGTGCGCACCATTATGCCAGATACGACTCTGACTCTGACTCAGGACACCGGTCCATACCGTTGAGAGACCTACACCTTTACTTTTCCAAAGTCCTTTGGCAGGATCATTTAAGACAAAATTTGAACCCTGATGTTCAACAGCCTCCATTTACCTTATGGGTTCTTAGTGGCAGCAAAATCACCTACCAGTTCACTAAGTTTTGTTATATTTAGAAGTTACTAAGAATAAATCTTTCCTATGAAATTATAATGCTGAAAAACATGGGTTGTGCTAAAACACAATTCTGCTAGATTTCATGTTGTAATCTGCACCTCCATATAAACAGGTAAGAGTAATAAAACATGCTGAATTTTATTTCCTAAGTGTGTGGATTAGAAGAGGAAAAAGGCTATCATAAAAGATAAAAAAAGATATTTAATTCTATGAATCAGACTTAGAATTCCCAGGAGAGGAAAAGCACCTTTTTTTTGTTTCTCACCCAACCTTCTTCCCTCTTTTCTTTCTTCCCTTTGCATAAACCTCTTAAAATTTTTCTACATTTCCTATCACCCATGAGCTTATAGATTCCAAGTAATAATTAGAGATTCCAAGTAATAATTAGAGGCTATCTAGTTCAGAGAAAGTGAGTGTCTAGTACAAGGCCGGATATTTGGTGGCAGAGCTAGGGTTTGAACATAAACTCTATTATGGGCCTGCCAAACTGCCTGGAGCTTGGTTCATTTTATTCTCAATAATTTATCACATTAGTAGCTAGGTGTCATGGTGGAAACCTATACTCCCCACACTTGGGAGGCTGAGGCAGGAGGATAGCCACACGTTCCAGGCCAGGCTGAGCTACGGAGCAAGACCTTGTCTCAAAAAAAAAAATTTATCACATTAAAGTAAACTTAGGTAATATAAGATCCGGACAAAAGACTATGGCACATTTGAGGAGTTGTGCAAGAGTAAAGATAAGATTTCTTAAGTTTTTTTGGAGAAGGTTTATAAGAAATGTGCTATATATATTGCTATGATTTTTTGTCGGTACCGGGAATCAAACTCAGGACCTTGCGCTTGCCAGGCAAGAGCTTGTGCCACTGACCTATTCTGCCACCCCAAAATGTACTATCTATAAAAGAGGTTTTATTTTTAGGAAAACGTATGATTTGTTATTTTATTTGCTTTTATTACAAAAGTGCTTTTCAACCCATACATTCAAACCTTACAGCTTTATTTTATGTTAGCATTCTGGTACTCATATCTCTAGATCTCAGTATGTTTTGGTAAATTTCCTCCTGTCATTTCTGGTCACTACCCTGCAGCTCCCAATAGGAATAACTAACCTGATTTCTAACAGAAATAGTTTTACCTCTCTTTGAATGGATGTAAAGTGGAATTATAGAATAAGTACAGTAATTTATTCTATCTGGATTCTTTTCCTCAACATTGTATTTTTGAGATTGGTCTGTTTCTTGCTCTTTTATATTCTTGATTCATGCCTATTCCTTTTTTTTAACTCCCTTTAGCATCTTGGGGGAAGGAAAGTAGCTCATAGACAGCTAGTAGCAATAATCTCGCATTTTAGGATGAAACAGATGGAAGTCTGAAAGTGTTCCTTGCAGAAATAGAACCTAAAAAAAAAAAAAAAAAAAAAAAAAAAAAAAAAAAACAAAACAAGAAATAGAACCTAACAATTACTAATTGCTATATGGTTTGGTAGTTTAGTGATAGAATAAACATCCTTACAATGTGGGACTCATCTGCTATATCCAAATAAAAAGTCTATGACTACTATGTCTGAATTTTTATAAATTAAATTCTAAAGATGACTCCATTAACCAATTCTGCAAGTCCTTCTGGCTGCAGCATAATACTTGGAAGAACCACTGCATGATATATCTGTGAATTTGTCTCATCTCAATAAAATCCCACTACAAACACACGTGGTTTTTACTACAGGAAAAAGTTTTACTGCATTATACTAATATAGCAATGGATTTCAAGGACTAAGTTTTCTGCCTCAAATAGCCTATATTTCCAATCTGTCAAATTCAAACTAAGGGCTGAGAACTTTGGTATCTGGGATCGAACCTAGCAGTGCTCCACTACTGAGGTACATCTCCAGCCCCTTTTATTTTTTATTTTAAGACAGGGTCTCACTAAATCGCTCAGGCTGGCTTCAAGCCTGCAATCCTCCTGCCTAAGCCTCCCAAGAGTGTGGGATTACAGGTGTGTGCCACAACACCTGAATAAGTTACAGATGCTTAACCTGGTGTCCACAGACAGGCTTTGAGGAAGAGGGGAGCCGAAGTCTTCAAATATACAGGTATCATATTCTACTATCTTAAATGGCACTGTGTAGTTAGCTAATCAATCTGAATTTATTTACTTGGCCCTGTTGCTTACTTGATGGCATTTGTGAGGAAAAACAGTCTAGTATTTCCAGATTAACCTTTGAAACTTCTGAAAACAAAGCCCTGATCCCAGAGTGGTTCCACACATTTGGCCAATAAGCACAGTGAATAAATACCTGCCAGCAGCTATGGGGAGATTTTCGTTCCAAGATATACTGAGTTAAGGGAGAAGGCTCAAGTTCATATTTGTCGAAGGGCAGTTTATCTATAACCATTGGCTCACAATCTACACAGGAGAACCTCACAACAGGATGAGATGTTCTTGGTGGCTAAAATAAAAAGGAAGAAAATATGATCAGGTATCAAGCAAGCTTACATTTCTGGCAATTCTGCCAGCCCTTTTAGATTTTTTGAAACCATCACTGAGATACAGACTAGTGCTTTGAGAAAGAGTTATTAGACCTGTAGGAATCACCAATGGCTTTCTTGTGAAGAAGGGATGCAGATTCTTTATCTCTACTGTCTACTTAGTATTAAGGATAGGAAAAGTAAATTACAACACTCATAAATAGAATTTCAGTGGAATAAAAAATGCTCTGAATATATTTAAGAACCCACTATGATCCATAGGATGAACCCTGAATTTCAGGTCCACTTTGTGGTCACCAAGCATCACTTGCCCTTCATTCCTTTGTCCTGCTAGTTTATACATAACTTAGGTACTGCTGGGGAAAAATCCATGAAATTTTCTAATGAGGTAATGGCAGAACTAAAGCTACTAACAAGTAAAACGAAAAATAAGAAGGTATGGAAAGAGCAAGATGATGAGCTAGTCGTAAGTCCAGGGCCCGGGTTGACGGTGTTGTTCATACCTACAAGCTTGTCTTAAATAGCCAAAGCTAGGGACAATTTGGGTAGGGCTGCAAAGGCCGTTTTCTTATCAGGGGTAACTTGTGACTGGAGAGCACCAGAGAGAAAGAGGGACAGCAAGGGCTGAGAGATCTGGAAGACTAATAGATACATGATACAGCATCTTTGCTTCTTTATAAGTGGGAAAGCACATTTACTTGCCTTTATCATTTATAAACCTACAAGATGTTGGAGAGTTGAAAAAAACTTCCTCAAATGAGCCTTTAAAGATAAGCTGTACGTGAGTCACTAGAGATTATTTTTTAAAAAAATTGCTTATTTACCCATCATTAAAAAGTGCATTACTACAGAACCAAAGTTCATTGATTAAAAAAAGATGAATTGTAGATCAAGCAAGTTCCACTATGTGTGTTGCTACTCCTTAGGAAGTAGATCTTTGAAAATGTTTTGACTATGTTTCTAAAACCTATGCAAGGTGTAAGCTAGGTTTCAGTTTTCTGAGGCTATGCATGAAAACCAATGCCGGTGACTTTTTAGGCACTGTGCTTACCAACGAAATGAAGGCGGCTGCTCTGAAATAAAAATCAAGTCACAGATAATGACGACATCTAAAATAACAATGTACTAACATCTAAAGATGGCAGCTCAAATGAAAAAGGCAACTTAAAGAAAGAGTGCAAATGCTGGAAAGTAAAGGAAGTCCTCTTTCTTGCTTTTAGGCACAAGCTAGACTTTTAGTAGGAGATAGAAGGCAAAAAGACAGATCTCAAAAGCCTCACTTCTCAAAAGGTCCACTATAGTCAGCAAACTAAAAATCCACACAATGTTTACGTTTTTGTTGTATGATACTTACTAGTGAAGGCAAATTCTGATCTGGCCAAAATGATTCTGGAATTGGCCAGTGTCCAACAGGAACACCAGTTTTAGAGTTAGGCCGTACATAAATGAGTTTATGACAACTATGCCATGGTTGAGCAGCAAATGAATTGCTTGGTCTAGATGAATCCGTAAGTCCATCTAAAAGTTAAACAAAAGACAGACTAGGGTGTGAATTTCTTTTTACAGGTGCTGATCTACTTGTACAAATTTTCCAGCTAAAGGCAGATATAAAAAATAATGATTCATGAAAAACGGAAGGAAAAAAGTGACACTACTAGGATTTCCAAATGTTCTCTCTAGTTTCTCTTTTCTTCTAATCAGTCCTCTCTAATTCAATACACCTCACCATCCTTAACCCACTATGAGAATATATTCTTATGTGAAAAACTATTATGAAACTAACTTTGAATTTTATGAGACTTGGATGGATAAACACACGAAAACATTACAGCTATTTTTTAAGAATTACCAAATTAAGCAAATGAAATAATTTTACTTATTTCAATATTACTTTCAGCAGTGATTATTGTAGACCAGGAGATTTATTGAGGACCATTGGGCTCTAGGGAGAACATATAATGGTTTTGGAGAAGTCCTATGAAGTTGAGCTCACAACTCTGGGAATGTACAGTTTTCTTAGGAAAGGGTTTTCACTTTCATCAAAATCTGAAAGGTTAAGAACTCTGGAAAAGGAGAACCGGAGCTAGAAAGGAAATCTGACTTATTTTTACATGTATGACACCAGATCCCAGGAATTTCCATATGAAAGTTTTCAGTTCACATAGCATGCCTTCTCACAGGCCTCAGTCTTTCATGGCAAGTTTTCTTGCAGGGGTGGCTAAGAAGCTTCTAAAATCATTATGCATAAAACTGGGTATAGCCTATGCTTTTTTCTCTAGGGAAAGAGGTTTATATTTTTCTAATAGTTTCTCAAAAGAATTCAGGAACCAAAGAGAAAAAAAAAAGTCAGGAACCACAGGATTCACTATTTCAGACAAATGTGTAGCTTTCTTCCATGTGTGTTTAGCCCATTTGGTCTTGGCCATGGCAATTAAAATGCATAGATCAGAGGAGATAAGCATTATGGTAGTAAGTATGCATGTGTATATATGTGTGGGACCTGACAGAAATGAGAACTAATAACCTAGAACAACAAAGCTCTGTACATTACTATACTGTGGTTTAGTTCCCTGACCTCTTTGAAATCTACACACAAGTAGTCACAAACGTCCATTCACAAAGCAATCTGGAAATTCACTAAATTTTAACTACCCCTATGCAAAAGTATCTCTGCTTTTATCCATTTAGAGTCAGACTTTCTGTAAAATCTCATTTTAAAAGGTTCTACAGTTAAAAAGTAGTAAGAAAAGATTAGCGTAGAACCTTACAGAACCTTCTAAGTTCCTGGATAAACCATTCACAATCTCTTGCTGCAGGACAGAAACTAACACAACTTTTATTAAGATAGTTTGGCATATCTGGTGCTCAGAGCTCCAAACAAGATATGTAAGTGTCACACTGTAGGGAATATGCAGACATTTTGTGAATAGAGAGGGAATGAGTCAGTGTCATTCCAAGACTGGGACAAGGGAATATAAAATGATTTGGGGAAAGGAAAAATTTTCTTAGGAATATTCAAGATAAAATTGAAGTTGTTAGAATTTAGCCAACTGACACCTACATAGGCAAAGAAAAGACAATAGTTTGGATAGATGTTTTACTCAAACGTACGTGGATAATGAAGATTATCACTATTATAATTTGTTTAACATATTCTGAATGTCAGATCATTGTCCTATATCACACTTTAGGGTTAAAAAATGTTATCCACCATACCTTCTCCAACAGGAAGTGGATCTGGTCCCGTTTTTTCAAAATGAATAACTACACCACTCTGAACTTTTTGCACTAGAGATTCTAAACATTGATTCAACATTCGTTGTGTTCTAACACAGTAGGAGCGACCTATGCCAGAGGTGAAAACAATGAGCACAAGTTTGATTAAAGTACTATATCATAATATAAGCATCTGAAATTTTAAAATATAACTTGGAATAATCATAATTACATTGGCAGCAACTAAAGTATTAATAATGAGATTAAACATCAGAGCGAAAAGATTTTAAAGGCAAACAAAGTTTAGATGTGGCATTTAGTGAAAACTATACTCTGCTGCCATAAATTCTTTCTTTAGAAATATGAGATTTTGCCAATACCTCCTGTGACTTCACACATTTGTGTGATGGCTGATTCATCACTTGGTACACTCCCCAGTTGCTCTGGTTCCGTACAAGCCACTCCAGGCAAACGCAACACCAGGGCAAATAACCTTTGATCCCAGCGAAAAGGTTCTTTGGTTAGTTCACTTCCAGGCAGAGGAGAATTCAAAGGAAGATGAAGCTGATAAGGCAAAATTTGAAAAGGTCCATTATAACAACCCACATAAAAATGAAGAAAGAGTTAAAAAGCTCATTTTTCTTTCATGGAGCTCAATAAAATTAAGTAATCTTTCAAGGATTACTAAGACAGCACGTTTATCGAAACTTAATTCTTAATTGGAGATACATGCTTCCCACAGAAATAGCCTCATGTTCTCTGCCATTTAATGAAATTAAAAAAATAAAATCTCACCTCTTCTTGAACACTAGCAGTACTTGTTAACTTGTTTCCGTCTGTGATGGTAATTAAAATAGATGGTTCTAAAAAAAATGGATTTCTCCCCTAAAATACATGTAAAGAGAATTAGAGCTGTGTAAAGTAATAAAATTCTATTTAAACTTTTACATTTGCCTTGTTAATGATCTCCCCAATAAATGGTAAAATCTGCTTGGATTTATAAAGAGAAAAAGATTAGGGACTGAAATGAGTAGGAACCAAAATAATCTTGAAAGAGGTAGCATTTCTATAAACTGAGAAATTCTTATAATTCAAAAACTCCCCAAGCCATAACATTCAAAATACTTTTATCTATCAGCTTTCCAAGGAATCACAAACTGATATTAAAGGGATTATAATGGCAATATCATACACACTCATGAATCCATTCACCTGAGTTAGAATCCTAGCACAGATGGGGGACACTGGTGACAAACTCTGAAACTTGGAGAGTGACTCTGGAGATCATGAGCAGAGTTTTTAGAGTAGATAAGGACAATGATGGCAACAGCAAATGCAGTTCTGGCTTCCTTTTATTCTATAGCCTTTACATGAGAGTGGGAGGGGCAATAGGGGTTGACACAGAAAGATCCCAACTGCCTTCTTCCAATATTTCTCAGCAATTTATTCATCCCATTCTCAGATATCTGATGATCGGGTGGTAGGCAATTTTAATTATTTTAAAATCAAGCCACATATAATAATCAAGAAGGATTTTTTAAAAAAATCATGTATTTAAAAATTATATCAACCTCTTTGGAGGATATCAAAAGTTGTAGAGACCTTGGTAACCATGCCCAATTTTGAATTCCTGCCCCAAGTCACCAAAGGAAATTAGCTGTACTCACTCAAAATTTTTTTTACCTGTCCATAATTGTCTATTCCAGATATTAATCTATTGAGATTTAACAGATCAAATGAGGATCTTAGAGCCTGACCAAGAGTAGTCAGTCCAGAAGCCTGAAGATTTTTTAGTTCGCTCATGAATGTTGCGTGATTTTCCTTCCAACCAGCCTGAAAACCAAACATTTACAAAGAAATTATTGATTATGCAACAAACATCATATAAAATGCAAACAAGTACCAAACAGAAACTATTAAACCTCTGCTTGACAAATTAATTGCTCCTTAATATAATTCTATTCTGTATCTTGACTGATTTCAGATCTAATGCAAAGGATCAGTTTCAGAAAGATCAGCTAGCTTTAATGATCAAGAATAAAGAATTCAAGCAAACAATACATGCATTTGTTGTGGCAGGAGGGCTTTGGCTTAAGAGGTCTATTCAGGTTCAACCAAACCTACCCAAACAACTCGGTTACCTTCGCTTGACACTGAAGATGAGCTTGGAGGAGCAGAGAGCAAGGAAAAGCTCCTTTCCAAACGTATTGTCCTCAATAGAGACAAACTTGGCTATCGAGGGTCTGATCTCTATGAGTTTTTCTAACCAAGATTCTTTCTCCCAAACAATATTTTCACATTTAAATGAAAAGAAAGGGAAACTACAGGAACAGAGCTACGCTTATTTGGAGACAATGCTTCTGGCACTATCAAGCATTCAGAAAACCCTAAATCTAGAATAGGAGCAGAAAGAAAAACAAAATGCTTTGGCAAAAAAGAGCACCCTCTAGGGGCCCCCAGCAACGATGAATAGCAGCAAAAAACCAAAGGCTCAAAGTCAACAGCCAACATGCTGTGATCAATTGGGTTGCAGAACAGAAGGAAGGAAAGGATCCTGCTGACTGTTCAGTGATGGCTACAAAAGCAAAGCAGCACAAAATGCGAAGAAGAGAAGCCAAAAGAGTATGGCAGCTATGAGTATGTCACGGAGGAACAGGCCGGCAAGGGTGAAGGCAGATAGCTCGGCTAGGCAACGTGGTGGGCAAAACAGCCACGTGAGTCTCAGTATACCTAAAGACAAGGGGTGATACACTGGATGCTGAGGTGATGCCCAACGGTACAGCTGGAGGAGGAAAGCAGGAACAAATCATACAGATATAAAGTAAGTGATTTCAATTTTGGGTTTAGCTGAAGGCTACAGCTTCTTTTCTGCTTTCATGGGCTCCCAAAGCACCATGAGACATGGAGGCCATTTGGAGGCTGAAAGAACAAAATGCGGCATTTGAAGACACCCCCATATCACGAGATGCAATGATGTGAGGAGTGGAGGGCACCACAGAAAGAAAGAAAACAGAGAGCTCATAAAAGGGTAGGATTTATTGGAGAACCACAAGTTAATTTGATTATCATTGCTCTGGGCACATGACAGCAGGCGAGGCTGATAAGACAATTCGTGCTTTGACTGCGAAGTGCTTTGAACACTGTGCTCAGTAGTTTGGATTATTATCAGTCGGCCCTGGGATGAACCCGGTGTTTTGAATTAGGAGAGTGGCACGATCAGAGCTGCATTTTAGCAAGATCATTCTGCTGGGAGGCGAGGCTAAATTGAGGGGTGGAGGACAGGATGAAGCTGGAGGCAGGGAAACTGGTTTGGAGACTGTTGCAATAGCTCTTGAGAACGGTGATGAAAGGCTGAGTTAGAGCAGTGAGGACAGACAGGAGGTTGCAGATTAAAGAAGTATTTCAAGAGGTGGAGTCATAAGGATTTAGCTAATTAAAGGGATGGGTGAGGGAGAAAGGGTCATGTACTAGGTTGGGGTATCTGGCCCAGGCAAACTTAAAAACGGTCAGATCTTTACCCAGAAGCCACTTTATAAAATTGACTTTTTTGAAGTTACTTCATTTAGCAATCTGATTTCCACATAGTAAACTTACATTTATATTAAGTATTGAACTCCTGAAAGGCCCATGGAATAGTTCAGGGTATGACTAAAGAAAAAGGAGTGGACTATTTGGTTGGTAAAGTGCTAGCAAAAGATGTGGATGTCACTTTAAACTCATCAATATTTCTCATAGTGTCCGGATTGTTAAAAGCCTCATTCATCAATCTGTCAGAAAAATTACAGTATTTAAATTTTCCTTTATAATATGAAATGAAAAGCATTTCACAAGTACTTTCAACAGGTGAATCTCTGACATTGTTTTTTGGTCAGTTCCAATCCTTGACAACAAATTGGGCAGTACGAGAAATTTGTAATACTGTTCGTACCTCAATACTATAAAGTATGTGAGCTACATTCACTACCAAAAACCATGCATTTTTAGTAGCTCTCCAGCTCCTATTTCAAGATAAAAACTAAATGCTCTGCTCTATTTTCAAAATACTATAGGAAAAAAAGTCCCACAGATTAAAATATTTAGAGAACTTTATTAATGTGAAAGATTTCTTCCATAAAGACCACTATAAAGAGATAGCAGGAAAAAGGACACATGCTCTTCATTGCTTGAAATTAATTTTTATCACAGATGAATTCAACGACAGCTAATTTGCTCTTTTCTTCAAAAGTACTGTGGATTCAAACCCATGGCCTCTCACATGCTAACTACTCACTACCACTGAGCTACATGTCCAACCTCTGATTTGCCATCTCAGTGTCTCCTTTCAAAATTTTACTTTATAGATATCCTACTCATGTCAGCAAAGCCTTTATTCCTGATAATAATTTCCATACCTCCTTGGAGAACTAGAGCTTACAAAGCACTTTCACACTTCACAGTGGCATAAGATAACCCTATAAAAATAGACACAACAATACCAACCCTATTTTGACCGACCTTCCTTCCTCCCTCCCTCCCTCCTTTTTTTTTCTGCCTTTTTGAGACAGGGTCTTGCTATGCAGTTCAGGCTGGTCTTAAGCTCATTTTGCAGCCCAGGCTGGCCTCAGACTCGCAACAATCCTCCTACCTGAGCCTCCCAAGTACTGGGATTACAGGTGTGTGCCACCACACCTGGCTTGTAATTTTTTTAATTTTGAGAAAGGGCCTTGCTAAATCACTAAGTTGCCCAAACTTTGCTTGAACTTGGAATCTTCTTGCCTCAGCCTCCCAGGGTGCTGGGATTATAGGGATGGGCCACCATGCCCAGCTCCTTCTTTCATTTTAACAAATAAGGAAGAAGTGAGAAGTAGGGCCGGGGATACAGCTCAGTGGCACAAACACCTGCCTGGCAAGCGCCAAGGTCCTGAGTTTGATTCCCAGTACCAAAAACAAAACAAACAAAAAAAGAAGTGACAGGTATATGTTGTTTGTGGGGGTGACAAGTCACACTCTAGAACTAAACTATCTGAAATAGTAGCTCTTAACCACATGTGGCTATTGAGCATCTGAAATGTGGCTAGTCTGAATCAAGATGTGGTGTTAAGTGTAGAATACACATGGGAGCTTTTCCTTTCTTTCTTGCATGTTGCTCAGGATGGAACCCAGGACCTTGTACATGCTAGTAGAGTGCTCTACACTGAGCTACCTCCCAGCCCCACCTATAAGATATTGAGGATGTAGACAACCTCAAAGAGTTAATGTAAAATATCTCATTCACTTTTATATTGACTACATGTTCAAATGATACAGTTTTGAAAGTTTTCAGTTAAATATATATTAGTAAAAATAGTTTCACCTGTTACTTTTTAATGTGGTAACTAGAATATTTTAAGTTATGTGTATGGCTGAGGCTGACATTATTGAACACTTGTTCTAGAGGGACCTGAAGGCCAGGCAAGGGAGTCTGGCCTTGAGGCTCTGGACAGTGAAGTCATTCCAGATTCCAATGCAGGAGGACACAGGACAAAAGCAGCGTCTCAGGAAAATCAGTCTGGTAGCAACATAGACTGGAAGAAAGGCAAACTGTAGTCAGAGAAGCTGGGAGACTTGATTAGCAATCCAGGCCTGTGACAATCAGGACCCGAATTCGGATGGGAACAGAGAAGGAGTTCATTGAGAAACATTTGACAGGAATAAGATAGTAACAGCATCGAATAAGATAGTAACAGAATTGCTGGGTGTGGTGGCACATGCCTGTAATCCCAGCACTCAGGAGGCTGAGGCAGGAGGATTGTTACAAATTCGAGATCAGCCTGCACTACAAAGTGAGCTCAAGGCCAGGCTGAACTGCATAGCAAGACCCTGTTTTGCAAAGTGCCCCCCGCAAAAAAGTAACAGCATTGCTTAAAGGGGCAAGAGAATAAAAGGTGATCTGATAGCTCCTACTCTGGGAGACCTAAGGAAGGGAGGTTTAGGACAAAGTAATAACTTGGTTGTTGTTTTTTTTTTTTGTTTTTTTCCAGTACCAGAAATCGAACTCACAACCTCACGCTTGCCAGGCAGGCGCTGTGCTGCTGAGCTAAATTCCCAACCCCAAGTTCAGGCTTTTTTTTTTTCCTGGCACCAGGAATCAAACTCATGAATAACTTGGGATAAACCTTAGAACAAAAAAACCTAAGCTAACAGGTGTCTTTAAAGTCAAGTTTAAATGTTTCTCAGAGGTAAAATGATGACTGATAATAGTTACTGGTGCTTATAAGTGCTAAGAACTCACTCATGCAAAATACAGCATCAAACATATACCCTTCTCATCTGAGCCTCATCATCACCTTCTAGGTCGGTGCTATCACTGTGTCTATTATATAAATTAGGACACTAAGACTAAGCAACTTATTCAAGTCAAACAACTAGCAACTGGCACAGTCATGATTTGAACTCAAGTAATTTAACTTCAGACCCTCCCCCCACCACTTAAGCCTTTAGATCCTACAACTCTTCCATATATTCACTTCCTGGACATGTCTTGTTAGATTAGCTTAAAAGTTCTTAAATTTAACGAACTTTCCAAATTTCATTTAATGCAAGCCCACTTTCCCTTATGTCTAAATACAGAGCAATTGGGTACAGGGGACAGTGACTTAGGAATTAGAAGACCTTGGTCTATTCCTGGCAGTCAGTAACTGGCTTGGCAAATGGTCCACAGTAAGTCACTTAAACCCTCTGGGCTCTGTTGCCTCATCCTAGGAATGAAAAGGCTGACAAATGAACTCTAAGGTCCCTTCCAACTTTCATCATCCTATAATTCCATACTTCATAACAATCCTTTATATCTATCAGACTTATGTACCCTATAATTC